GGGCATCCACAGCTTCTCTGGGCAGCCTGGGCCACTGTTCCAGCCACCACAGGCAGGCTCTCAGCGCAGCTCTGTCCCCAACAAGCCACTTGCCTATGTGGCCGGGTTTTCAGAGAAGCTCAGCACCCTGGGGCTTGTGCAGGTGACGGCAGGGAGGCGAAGAACCTGCAGCAAGGCTGGCTCTGCGAGGGTAGGTTGTGCACTTGGAAATCTGGCCCTAGGAGTGGAGAAATGGATCTCCAAATAAAAGTTGTCCAGCAGATCAACACTATTTGAATAAATACTAGAAGTAGTGAAACGATTTTTTAATAATGTTTTGACAATTGAGAAGCCTGACATAAACAGAAACGGAAAATACTTCATCATCAACTCTTCACAACAGCGTTATTTTTCATTCCAGTAAAAGAAACGCATCAACTTTCCTTTTTCCATCTTATTAAATATTTCCTAGACAAACTTGCCTGTCTTTGCTTAGTCAAATATCACTACTTGTCTAAATAAAATTCAAAGAAAAACTTTTCTATGTTCACCACTCTTGATATATTCACTAGACAACAGAAATCACAGAGAGCACTCACTCCTATCTGTGAAAAATAAGTTCTTGAACACATTTCCTCTATTTTGATGTACCTACTTAAAAGAAATTTGAATAAACAGATATCTAACCCCCATCATTCAGTGTGTTGCTTAAAGTCTTCTGAGCTGGAGATCTCCTTCAGCCTTCTTAGCAGATGAAAGCACAGGATTTGGAACCACAGCACACATCTGACTGCTTGTGTGCTTCTTCAGCCTCTTCAGGTTAGTTTCTACCTCAAATGCTGCTGCCTACATCTAGTGAGCTCAGAAGGCTATTCCTCCTGTTTGAAATGCACACCTAGGCCAATGGCATAATAAATTCATAGAAGCAAAATGATAAGCAGTCATAAACAGAAATGAAAACCAAACGTTTTTCTAGAGGGTAGGGTTCGCAAACGCAGGGTTTCACCAATACTTTTCCAAAATGTTCTGCTGCAGAGCACACCTGCACAGAGCTGCAGTGGTGGAGGGACTTTAAAAGCTGAATATCCAAGCGTCTGCTCATTCTGCTTTGCTCAGACTCCTGGCTGTAGCATCCAGTCCTGTGCCTTCCTCTTCACACTCTGATGGGATGTGGCAATGCAAAACATATTAGTACTTACCGTAGGAGCTGCAGGAATTCACCTGTGCCAGAACAGTACGGAAGCTACTTATGTTTCTGTTCCAGGCATGCCTGGGGAGGAGTCTCAAGAGCCTACAGCCTGCGGGCTCCAGGACAAAAATGATATGCAATTGCTTAACGATGTAGATAGAATATTGAAGCAATACTAAAAATAAATGTCATTACAGTAATTTCTGTACAATATAGGCTAAAACAGGATTCGGGGGTTGCTCAAATTCAGCAGAACAGTAAATCAAAATTTAAATTAAAAGTGGATTATGAGTCCTTAGGTTTATGGTCTGTCCCAAGGCAAAGCCTTAAGCAAGCCCGTTTTCCAGACCCTGTCTCTCATTTGTGAAGCCTCTACTTTCTGTTTTGTTTTGTTATTTAAACTTTTAATTTACAGAGCAGTAAGATTTTCATTTTTACAGCATTGTTCTTCTTTCTGAAGCAGGAACTTGTCTTCACCAAGTAAGTCCCTGCTCTGCAAAACACTTGAGCTAACACAGAGGAAAAGTACAATCCTGCCATATCTCTGCAGCACAGGAGAAGCCTTACGGTGGTGAAACCGTTAACACCCTGCTGGAGAGGACAGCTTCTGCTGGCTGCAAGTCACAGAGCCGTACTCCATGGAGATGCTATAGGACCATCCACAGGAGGTGGGATGAGTGAGGCCACGTGTCCCTGGATCCACTGGCTGTTTTCCCCTAGGGAATGAGGAGAAACAGGAGCTACAGGAAAAAAACCAACCCTATTGCTCTGCAGTCGGGATGGGAACCGCACCATGAGCCCATGGCTCTCCCGCTGATTGCACCGTCTGCGCGTGCCCAGGTCCAGCCCAGAAGCGTGGCCAGTGGGCTCACACAATATTGAGGCTTTAGTCCACGTGCAGCATTTTGCTTCGGCACAGTCCAGTTGAGCTGTAAAATAATGTGCGTCATGCAGCTTTTAGAAGATCCCTCATGCACAGAAATACCTGGAAAATTATGGTAGGCACTGAAATGTTAGTTTTTTGACTAGTCTTAAAGCAGAGAAGGAGAAGAAGCTTACAGGATACCATCTGATTTGTGCAAAATCGCATCTGAAGACTTGATGATCACTCTGACATTTGCTTGTCAAAAACCTACACCCTCTATGTTCATGGGATTTACAAGAGACAAAGTGTTACCTGGACCAGAACAGTGCTTATCTCCTTCACTTTTTTTTTACCCTTATCACACAGTGATTGTTGCCTCAACTATTTTCTTCTTCATGAGCTAAACTTCGGTTTTCTACAATGTCTTGAAACATTAAAATAAAGTTGTGACTGAAATAAAACAAAGCGGGACATTCTAAAATGCCTCCTAGAAGTACACCAGCAAGAGATGACTGATTCAGTCATTGTACATGGTTTCTGAATACATAGCCAAGGTGATTGCATCTATCTTTGAAAGGTGCGACGGAAACAACCACCAGCAATTAAGGGCAAAACCTTACAGCTGCAACACAGGCATAATAACAACATACTACACTATTAATTCTGATGATTGTAGAAGCACATTCACTCTTACCACTGTTATGAGAGAGTTTGCAAAGAACGTAAGATGTTTTTCAATTACCTACATGCACACGTACATATATATTAAGAGAACATGAGCGGAGAACCAAATAAGAATGGGGGAAGGCATATTTACTATTCAATACCTGCTTCCCTTTCCCCTACTCAGGTGTTATATTTTTTCTTTCAGGTTTCCCTAGACTGGATCAAAAAGATTTCACTGGAATTTAAATCAGTACAGCAGACCAAACAAGATTCCCAGTGTTTTCAACCATTACCATAATTAAAGATGTCTTTGCAGAATAACTCCTGGGCTGCTTGTCTGCTGTCTGTCACTTGGTAGCTATTCCCATCACTTCCCATCAAATGAAACATCAAATGTTTCACACTCAGAATGGTGGTAGCATAACCTTAACCCTAACCCTAACCTTAACCCTAATCCTAACTTTGCAGCAGTGAATACTATTCCCATGGTTTAGAATAAAATGGTAAAAAAAAGGCCTGTGCGAAGGCTGGAGAGGAAAGACGCTGCTCAACAAGCAGCAGTGAACAACAAGCATGCATTCGAAATACTTGTGATGGGAACTTGAGTGGCACAGCAACACCTGTTGGCCTCTCCAACAAAGTTTTGTTGCTGAAAAGTGTTGTGCAAGAGAATAACAACTCTTTTTCTTTCTAATTGAAGAGATTAACAATCTTTAAATACACACAGACATACCCACTGGGGATGAGGTTTGCATCAGTAAGCTGGCTCAGTGAAGCACGGCTACGCAGCACATACGCCATCAGCAGTCCGTTGCCCATGTCAGGTTTCCTGTGCTTTTATTCTACATGAAAGTCCTGATAAAAGTCTGGAGTGCATGCAAGCCAACTGGGTGAAATTCCAAATGTGTATGTTACGGGATTTCACCTGCAAAAAGTTGGCAGGACTCTTCAAGTCATGTGACATGGCTCAAGTATTGCTTTGTGGGAATTTCCCTCAGAAGGACTATTTCACTTGGAAAGTCAACAAAAAAGCATGAACCTCATCATTTTTCTAATTCCTCTTCCTTCCAAAACAACAACAAAACAAACACCCTTTCTTCCTACTTTCCCCCAAAAAGTGTACTCAGAAAAAGAGCCATTTCGTATTTAAAAAAACAAATCTAAACCTAATTGCTGTTAAAATCATACAAGCCTGCCTGGAATTCAGTTAGCATGAGTACTTTGTTGTCACTTCACAGCCACCGATATAAGCTTCCGAAATAAACTGGCACCCATCTTTCTGAACACTTCCTATACATGAAGTATTTTATACGGAGTACTCTGATCTCCACCCACATTGTGCTTTTCATTGCTCCCCAGGATCACCATTTTCACATGGCACAAGAGAGAGGGGTTGCAGGATAACTGGATCCCCACACCACCTCCAGCTCAGAGCCCAGCACGTGTACAATGCTGTGGTGTGAATTCCAATGCAATCACAGAATCATTAAGGTTGGAAAAGACCTCAAGGATCATCAAGTCCAACCGTCAACCCAACACCACTCAACCCACTAACCCATGTCCCGAAGCAACACATCCACACGTTTCTTGACCCCCTCCAGGGATGGTGACTCCACCACTGCCCTGGGCAGCCTGTTCCAATGCTTGATCACTCTTTCAGTGAAGAAATTTTTTCTAATATCCAGCCTAAACCTCCCCTGGCACAACTTGAGGCTGTTTCCTCTTGTCCCATCACTTGTTACTATAGAGCAGAGCCCAGCACCCCCCTCACTGCACCCTCCTTTCAGGCAGTTGTAGAGAGTGATGAGGTCTCCTCTCAGCCTCCTCCTCTCCAGACTAAACACCCCCAGCTCCCTCAGCCGCTCGTCGTCAGCCCTGTGCTCCAGACCCTTCCCCAGCTTCGTTGCCCTTCTCTGGACCGCAATGTACCCTCTGGGGCCACAAAGTCACACCAAGGGTTGACAGCAACCTATCACAGAGCTCAGCACACTCACAATTTGTGGCTACACTTGTGAGTGTGTGCTGGGGCTCTTCAGCTCCCAAAAGCAGAAAAAGTCCTTGTTCCAACAGGTCCCTGCCACCAATACAAAAGAAAATCATCTGCAGGGAAGGAAGGTCTCTTGCATGGGCAGCAGAGAGAAAGGCAGCCCTCCTGGTTTGACTCTCACCCTCATTTCACAGCACCAGGTGTACCTCCAAATTACTCAGGTTAGTAAAGAATTATTAGAGCCATGTATCCTTGTAAGTAGTCAACATAATCTCTCATTTTTACTAGCAGAGATAAGGAATATATTTTGTTACCAGTAGCTGGAAGATAGGTGAAAAGCTGGTACTGGCTTCTCTTTCTCTTTCCATTGCAGACATAGAAGTTGACCTGAACAGGGCTGGTAATTCTCTGATTGCGGAAAGGTGGTATCTCAACCACCAACGAGTTCTGCAAAAGCAACAAATCAGAAAGTCAAGGCACAACTCACATGTTAACCCTGAGAAGGAGGCTCACAAGGAGGAGGAATACACTCTCGCAGGGGAACTGCTGGTCTTCGTGGGTAGGGATGGTCTCCTGCCACCCCCAGGGTCCTCCATGCCAGGGACTCCAGAAGTAGGGAAATAAGATTTTAGCATGGCTCAGGTCTTCATAGAATCACTAGTCTTCCCCTCTTCCCTTTGGAAAGCAAATACGATACTGCATATGGACAAGGCTCTACCTCTCCTGCCTCTGACAAGAATCTGGGACCATAATCAAATTGTGGTCTCGAACTCAGCAGGAGAAAGCACAACCACTGGGCTGGCAGGTCATCCCCAGCCTACCTCACCCTTACACAACTTCCTTTGAAAGGGAAATTAGGGCAGGCATGTGATTATTCAAATTTTTCCACTTTCTACTGGGAAATGTTTTTTTCATATAACAACTCGTGAAGTTTTAAGCATGCTAGTTTCTGTGGATGGGAGATCCTGCAAGAACATCTAGTCCTACAGGAAGAAGGGATGGAGAGAGCGTAGATGATCTTCCACTGTCAGGAACCAAATGCTCCAGCATGGGGCTAAGGAACAACTCAGCCGCTTACACTGATGTTACAGCTGCAACATCAGCTTTCACAAACCTGCTATGACCTCCCTCGGCACTTTTTGAAAGAATAAAAGGGCATGCTTGTCTTAGCATCTGGACTGCATTCAGCTGAGGTCTTTAAACTGTTTGCCTGCATGTCTGCAGCAGGTTCGCAGCTAACACACTGTTACACATTCCTGCAGAAGTGGAACAGTGGCCATATTTGCCACTTATAGTCATGGCTGAGGGAGCCACGCTTCTCCAACCATAGGGCTGATCTCCTGTGAGAGGAGTCACATTGCTTCTGCCGACGGTAGACAAAAGCCAAGGAAAATGATCAGAAATAGCTTTGGGAGCAGAGGGAAGAACTGACCCAGCAAGACAGAAGATGAACAGACAGGGCTGGCCCATCCTGGACAATGAAAAAATATTTTCCAAATGGTGTCTCCTACTTTTGGGATAGCTTCCAGTGAAGGCTTTTTACCCCATGCTCCCATTAAAGAAAGATTTCCAGGAGGGGAGGCCTAAGTACTTGTTCTGTTTCAGTGGGGAGACACATTGCCAAAGCCTTGGAAATCCCTCTTTAGTAACAGTGCTGGAGAAGGCAATATATATTTTTCATTTTGATGTTAAAATATTTAAGGCAGACTTACTGGCTTGCACATTTCTTTGTCGGTTTTGGCTTCCATTTCCCACACATGGTGACCATCTAAAAGACAAAAAGAAAAAGATATCTAGTTCCGTCCTTTTTTCCTATCCCAAGCATACAAAATAATGACTTCTGCAAAAAAAATCTCTTTGAAAGGGCACTGCATATGTGAAAACCAGCTTTCCAAATGCACTGGCAAGCATTGCCCAAGGAGTAGGCTATTGGGGTAGCCCGCGCCAGGAGTCCACCGAGCTTTTTTGAAGGGGGGAGCCACAATCCGGAGTGCAGGATACTGCAATGGGGGAAAGCCACCCAGAGTTTATTCTGCCACTAGTGTGGACAAGATATGGAACTGTTCTACTCCTTCATTTCCCAAACTTTCAGACAAAAATACCGCTCCCTACGAGGCCTTTTGATCACTACCTGTGCAGTACGTCATATTCAACATTAATACAAAACAAAACAAGTAGTATTAAGGGAGCTCCTCAGCCATGCAGTATTTGATTTGAATACACTCCTAGTCTGGCTTGTCATAATTCTGCTTCTCGGACCAAAAGGCAAGGCCATAGACTGGGGAACATAGCTTTTGACTCCATTCTGAAGTTGATTTAGCTCAGCTACAGTGGTCCCACCCACAGTTTTCTGGAGCTGCTTCTAGCGGTCCTTCTAATCCGCCGTATTTCCGTTTTCAAGCAAACATAGATTTAAGCTACAGCTATCGCTTTTTCTGAGGGCCCGTCTTTTGGAACAAATCGGTTTTGTCTGGTCATTTTTCCTGTGCCTCACTGATAGAGAAGTCACCGGTCAATAACAGGTCCTTTTTTCTTCCTTGCAGCTTCAAAACTCAACAGCAAGGGAACTCAAAAAAATAATACAAAACCTAGGCTTTCCACTCTGCAGGCCTAGAAAAACACCAACGTGTCCGAAAGGCCACAAGCAGACCGCTGTCCAAGTTGGGCAGCGGGGACACTTGCCGCTTCATGAGTCCCACCATTGTCAGATGTTGCTGGAATGAAAGGGAAAGTGAGACTTTATGTCATCCCTTTTGTATATTTACTGCAGCATCGGGACATGCAAATGCAAATATTTGCTATTTTGAACTTCATCACAGAGACGCGGGCCTGCCTTAGAAAAACAGCTCTCGGCAAGGTGGAAGAGTGAATGCACTTTTTCTTCTCCCTTTGCTTTCATGGCCGGGATGGAGGTGACACATTTAGAACTGCCTGATTTATTACAAATGTCTGTAAATAATATTTTTGTGTACAGCTGTCCTGCTGCGAAAGGAATGCTGCCGAGGGACTAGCCCTGGCGATCGTTTTAATGTCCAAAACCCCTTTCTTTTTCATGTGTGGAAAGAAGTGCAACGTGAAAGCTGCGGCACAAACAGCGCAGTGGATTTGGCAGGTCCTTCTGTAGGAAACAATTAGCAGATCTGCCCTTAGTTTCTTCCTACAGTTTAAATGGTGACGCTGGAAGAGGAATCCCTTTAATGGGTACTGCCACGTTCGGCTGTGGGGAGAGAAGGAGCAGCCAGACCCTGCCGCGTCTCCTTAACGATGCCTTCTGAGCGCGCCAGGACTGAAGCAGACTTCTCAGGAGGACTGGCAATCACTTCACAATTTCTCCAACAGATGCTTCCCCCCCCAACCCCCCCGAGCTGTCAGGAGAAAAACCCCGGCCGAAATTCAGCAAGCCAGGACACATCCCTTGTCTGGGAGCAGCCCCCTCCCCAGAGAGCCCCCGTAGCCCTCTCTTCCCCCTCCTCCCAACTAATGCGATCAGTTGTAAAAGTAACACAGCACTGACGCTATCACACATTTTGCAAAGTCTAGGAACTTCTGCTTTCTAAGGGGTTTGTTGGAGGTTTTCTTTTAAAAAAAATCTACAGACGTCCAGACTAGTAGTTAACATGTGTTCAATTTGCCTTTGTAAATGGATTACCAGAAGTTCAGGTTTTTTGCTATATTTAATTTCTGCTTTGCAAGACGAATGATCTGATTCAGGTTTCTGGTTTTTATTTCCTGCCGATACTTCAGTAAAATTCAAAACGACTCCATCTCTAGCTAATCTCTCAATTACTTCACGCAGCACTGCCTTTATGCACTTTTGAAATTTTTATGATGACAAAGAGAGTTTGTTCAGAAATATTTTAAATGCTGTAATCTAAACGATTAGGAAAATAAAAATCCAGAGCCGTGGCTCGTCTTTGGAAGCTAATAAGAACAATATGGGTTTCACTCCAAGAAAACTCCCTTGAGACTGTCCAGACCATCACAGCTCAGCGACTGAGGGGAAGGGGAAGAGAGGGAAGAAGTAGGGAATAGACAACTCATTAACAGCCAGTGACATTTCATTTAACAAAAACACAGGGAGGAAAAGTTGTTATGAAGCAGAGACAA